TTGGGCTGGTCAGATTATCCGCTCTCCCCCAGAAACTGTAACTAAGGTCTGTTCAGCATAGTTGCAGAATAAAGCACAGGTGAGTTCTGTACTTCGAGTGGGTATCTGTAATATTGATTTGATAGACACCCTGGCAAACGTGTGTGCCATGAAACATGTACCCGATCATATATATATATATATATATATATATGAAACAATCATCCGTCTAAAAATACTTAATTAAGTGGGACGAACCATTAGCATTATTTTCTTGGTATCGAAGAATTCTTTTAACCTGTTGGAATCTTGTAAAAAATCTTGTATAGCCTGACAGTTGATTTTAAGCATCAGTCTGTCGCCTTTGTGTGTTGACTTCAATGCCCACTTTTACATTTACATACGCTCCATCACTGATATTGAGCACTTTTAGCATACCTTAAAACTATATGTTTTTGACAAGTGCGAATTTGCAAACAATCACTACTGCTACTGATAATGCAAGACTCTCCAAAATTGGATTGAATTCTCTTGGTCACTGGCGTGTTTATGAAAAATAAATACGTAAAAATCTATTTACGTATGCATATTATATATATATATAATATGCATAAACATATGTATATATATATATATATATATGTGTGTGTGTGTGTGGCTTTATTTTAATATTGCGTATATAGACATGTACAAGGGTGGATAAAAAGATTGCATTTTATCATGTCGTTAGCTGTAGATAGATGCGAAATTTTCATTGCATAATATTGAGTCGATATAATTTGCCACTAAATTAACAAGGAATATTTTTGCAAAATAAGTGTTTTTTTTTGTCATTAGGCTGCGGAGTTGCAGATAATGTCTGTGCATCTGTAAAGAATAAGTTTGGTTTCTCTCTGCTTTTGTTCGGTGTAAAGGATTAAAACCGAATTACAAAAGAAAAAGAAAAACAGCAAGATTTAAAATTCTTCTCTCTTCTATCCAGTTAGCTACAATGAAAAATAGGTTTTAAAATATCTATCTATCTATCTATCTATCTATCTATCTATCTATCTATCTATCTTCCAGTTTCTTTCTTTTCCCTTTTTTTCTATCTATTTATCTATCTCTGTTTCTTTATTTCTTTATATCGATCTCTGTTTCTTTCTTTCTATTTATCTATCTATATTTATTTGTTTCTATCTATCTATCTTTGTTTGTTCCTATCTATCTATCTATCTATCTATCTATCTATCTATGTTTCTTTATTTTACTTCCTTTATTTCTTTCTTTCTTTCTTTCTTTATTTCTTTATTTCTTTCTATTTATCTATCTTTCTTTCTTTTTATCTATATATCTATCTATTTTCGTTTGTTCGTATCTATCTATCTATCTATCTATCTATCTATCTATCTATCTATCTATCTATCTATCTTCCAGTTTCTTTCTTTTTCCTTTTTTTCTATCTATTTATCTATCTCTGTTTCTTTATTTCTTTATATCGATCTCTGTTTCTTTCTTTCTATTTATCTATCTATATTTATTTGTTTCTATCTATCTATATTTGTTTGTTCCTATCTATCTATCTATCTATCTATCTATCTATCTATCTATCTATGTTTCTTTATTTTACTTCCTTTATTTCTTTCTTTTTTTATTTCTTTGTTTCTTTATTTCTTTCTATTTATCTATCTTTCTTTCTTTTTATCTATATATCTATCTATTTTCGTTTGTTCGTATCTATCTATCTATCTATCTATCTATCTATCTATCTTCCAGTTTCTTTCTTTTTCCTTTTTTTCTATCTATTTATCTATCTCTGTTTCTTTATTTCTTTATATCGATCTCTGTTTCTTTCTTTCTATTTATCTATCTATATTTATTTGTTTCTATCTATCTATCTTTGTTTGTTCCTATCTATCTATCTATCTATCTATCTATCTATCTATCTATCTATCTATCTATCTATCTATGTTTCTTTATTTTACTTCCTTTATTTCTTTCTTTCTTTCTTTCTTTATTTCTTTATTTCTTTCTATTTATCTATCTTTCTTTCTTTTTATCTATATATCTATCTATTTTCGTTTGTTCGTATCTATCTATCTATCTATCTATCTATCTATCTATCTATGAGTTTCTTTCTTTTTCCTTTTTTTCTATCTATTTATCTATCTCTGTTTCTTTATTTCTTTATATTGATCTCTGTTTCTTTCTTTCTATTTATCTATCTATATTTATTTGTTTCTATCTATCTATCTTTGTTTGTTCCTATCTATCTATCTATCTATCTATCTATCTATCTATGTTTCTTTATTTTACTTCCTTTATTTCTTTCTTTCTTTCTTTCTTTCTTTATTTCTTTCTATTTATCTATCTTTCTTTCTTTTTATCTATATATCTATCTATTTTCGTTCGTATCTATCTATCTATCTATCTATCTATCTATCTATCTTTTTCCTTTCTTTCTTTCTTTTTCCTTTCTTTCTTTCTTTTTCCTTTCTTTCTTTTTTCTTACTTTTTTTTCCCCTTTTTTTGTGAAAGAATGGTAGCTAAGTTTTGGAACTTCCTACATAAGGTATTCACGATCTTGTTTAAAAAATGCGCCCACCTTAGAAAGGAGTGAATAAGTAATAAGTCTTTCTTTCTTTTTTCTGCTATTATTTTCGATTTTGTCTCGTTTTTTTGCGTATTTTCCCCGGTTCATTCCTTGAGAGTTTTATTTAAGTTTTCTTGTGTCATCACAGATTTTTCTTTTTCTTTCTTTGAGGACTGGGTGTGGAAAGAAATTGAATCATTAAATAATATAGACACATTGTGTCTATTTATTTCTATACTGATTATTTCCAGTTCTCTAATCAGTTTCTTAAAAAGGCAAATCATAATCGCAAACGACAACTTAAAACTACAATAAGTTCGTCTTTTTAATTTACCCCTGAAGAAGATGTTGGAAAAGATCGAAAATACTTACGATAGAAATAACTACGGTGCCTTATTTGATAAATTTCATATTAACATCAAGAAACTGTTTGAATATATATATATATATATATATATATATATATATATATATATATATATATATATATAAAATAATCTTATAGATATAAATAAGTATACTCGTCCGAAAAACCTTAGTTGTTTTGGATTGTAAATGAACAAGCCAATACCCAAGGAAAAATAAGGAATAAAAAAAGAAAAAAGAAAGAACTAAGAACATGTAAAACAATCGACCAGAATCCAAGCTCAGAGTCCAACGAAAAAAAAATCTACGACACGAGTAAAGTAAAAATAACTAAGCAAAGTGCTCAACGCACTAAGTAGAGCCAATTTAACTACAAAACTAAAGTGCCAGGCAAACCTACTTAGGTTTGCCTGGCTCTTTAGATTCGTAGTTATATATATATATATATATATATATATATAATGATAATATTTAGTAATCCGCAGGATAATTCCAAAAAGATATAGATCCAAGGAGAGCTCACTGTCCAATAATAATAATTATTACAAAGAAAACGAACTCTTAAAAGACCATGAGGATATTTATTTCATTAAGATCGAGAGGTCTTAACTCTTCAAATCAACTGCTTACACACAACTTTTAAGAGTTCGTTTTCTTTATAATAATTATATATATATATATATATGTAATGTTTGTGTGGCACTTTTCACAGAACGTAGAGTAATTACCTGAGGCAGATCGTACAGATACTTTGATCCAAAACCGGTATGCTGACCCATACATAAATAAACCTCTCATTTTGACGGGTAATATGCTATCTACATTTATAATAAGTCCGTTAAGTGCTCCACGCATGTGTCCTTCCGTATTACTTATAAATTTTAGCTTTGTAAGTATCAAGAATGTGCCGTTCTTGACCCAGTTCGTCATCATCATTTAGCCGCGGTATTTATTGAGCTTCTTCTCCAAGGGTTCCTCGTCGATGTTAAATTGAGCCGATTTCAAAAGAACAATTTTTGCCGGAAGAACATCAGAAGCCAGTGTATTATCCCCAGGTCATGTGACTCTGAAAAAGGCTTCGTGACGAAAAAGACGCGAGGTGAGAACTAATTAGTGAACTAAAGATGGAATATTCCATGGGCGCTGCAGCTGGCTTTTCCAGTAATCATTTGGATATTCCCGCATTACTCTGCTGCAATGACCATTATCTTCGGGGGTTTTTTGTTGCACTTTTCGGGAGAAAAATAGATCGGTTCTTATGGGAAGTGTCATTTCGATCGCATCTGAGTATTTTTTACCCTTCCTATCTTGTTAAACAGTATACCGAGTTGACTAAAACGATCAAAAAGAATGTTGTTGAAAGCAAATTGAACAACCACTAACCGTACCAAACGCCTGTCTCCGTGCAAAGGTTATACAGTGTATTTAATTTCGTTAATAAAATCTGAGACGATTGATGACAATGACATCTGACACAAGAAATATATATCTTTGATATAGTCTCTTTCCTTGTCAGTTCTCTTAATTCAATGACGACTACTAATTATATAGATCGAACATTAAACATTGAAGATTTCAGCTAATATCAGCATATCAAACGCATTGAACAAACGAGTTACTTAGGTACAATAATAAGTCCATAGACTTAGTCCAGTTTGAAGTAACATTGGATTACTTTCGGAATGAACAAAAAAAAAAAACTTCGTTTTTTGGAAGTCTGTCTTTTCTGATGCTCTTGGGACTTGAAGAAAACGAAAACCGGTGTTTTCTATGTGATTTGACCGTGAGCTTTTCGGAATTATAAACTCGATTCTGCTCTCATTACCGTCAGTTTATTCTAAAACCAAAATACAGCCCAGCTGATATAGAGATGTGTTGTTTAGTTAATGTTCCCCCAATCACAAAGACTAGTGGCTTAGTGAATGGGGTTGGTAAGTGTCGATTTTAAGGATATGATGGATTGATAAAGATAGAGCGTAGACTCGAAGAGGTTAAGATTGCAGTGAACGGGGAAGAGGTTCTCACAAAAAAAAAAGAAGATATCTAAGTTGAACTTTCTTTTTAATGTAATACAAAAGTGAAGTGATTGTTTTGACCCTGAGTACTTAGCATGGCGAGTTTAGTTGTGATTGTCTGCATTGGTGGAACTTAGAAATGGAACTTGTCTGGGCATTTCCCATGTAAATATAGATAGAGCAGTAATAAGCTTGTGGTGTTTCGTCCGTGAGAAATCGTAAGGAAAGGTTGCAAATAAAAGGCCGTGTAATATGGCGTTATCTCAAGAACTGGAACCGTCTGATTAACAATTGTTTTATTACATGAAGTTTGAACAGACGTTCGAAAAACATACTAATTTTTATACATTATTTACATTATTCGGACTATTGTCCTCATCTTGGCCGCCATATTTATTACAACGTATGTAGTGAAAGGAAAACATCTCTCATAAACACATCTATCATCACCACCACCCAGACAAGAACCTAATGATTTTATTACCCCTTAGGCAGAAATTCACTTTTGCTAACAATCCAAAAATGAGTTCAAGGCTCACTACAAATACAGAAAATGAACAAGGAAACATAAGGAAAATTTATTTGTTTAATTTGCCTGAAGAAGGTCACGAGACCGGAGACACATGTGGCAAACATATGAAGAATAAAATATAATATATACAGTAAAATAAATCTACATTATAACCAAAAACGTTTGTGGTTTCTCTCCTTTTTTAAATATACATTTTTCTCTCGTTGGAACAACTGTAACCTTTTCCATCCTGTCAAAGGACGAATATTTTCTATGAAAATTTCTCTCAGACATTCAGGCCAGTAAATGTTATTTAATACTGTTTATTATAAACAGAGCATTTACTTAAATACTTGTATCTATAAAAGAATGTTAATCATAAAAATGTCTTTAATAAATTGTCGGACTTTGTCCATTTTTTAATATATATATATATATATATATATATATATATATATAAGCGCCTATAGTTTATATTCTATTTAAATAATTTGTGAGTACATTACATAAAATATAACTATGAATATTTTTTATGAAACTTTAGTAGTCACCAGGCAATCATATGATATGAGACAATTTCATGAGATGATTAATAAATTAAATTTCAAAAGAGGATTAATAAAGATTTTTTTTTCAAATAATTAAATATTATAGCAAAGAACCGTAAGGTATGGAAGGACTGAAATAAATAATTGAAGGAAATAAAATTAACTGTTATAAAATATATAATTTGAAAAAACAGGTTCTCATGCGAAACTGCATAAATGAAAACACCGTAGTTCATATAGAATTAATTATTACTAAAAATAAACATAAATATAGAAAAAAATAATTTGGTGCTGATGTAAAAAACTCTACGTTGTGTAGAATTCTACTGATAGAGTTTTATACGTAGCAAGAGATACAGGAAAAAATTGTGTAGATATATAGTAAAAATAAGCGACCTGATATAGCGGAAGCATTAGCCAAGAGGTCCCAAAGATATTTGCTATTTTTGTGCACGAAATATTCAGTGGGTTTTAACAGTTTTGGGTTCATGTCAGGCTCCATAGAATAAACTTAATATCTTAGTGAATATGCGCCTAGCGTAGTGGTTATTGGCGCTGTAAGTAGGAACTTAAGTTCGGTTCGTCACATTCATTTCGGCGCAAAGATATGAATCCTCTCCCCACAAACTATGGGTTAATTTAAACTGAAGTGCCAGGATACTGAAGATAGCAGTACACTGTACGGTTTAATCCACCCTTCATCAACCGGATGAGGAATGTCTTACGTAATAGGTAAAGAAATATTAAAGGTGTGATAGGCATAGAGCGCTTGTTAGATTTTGACTGTTTCGTTGCAGAACGGCTATTGGGGAAAGAAATATAAGGTTCTCTGTGGAAGCAATGTTGATGCCATGAATAAAAGTCTCTTTGTGGAATGGCTGTTTGGAGCTAGAAATTAAAGGCTCTTTGCGTAATGATTATTATGGCCAGAATGATTTAATGATTCTTTAGACCAAGAATATAATGCTTTCTATGGAATGATTGTTGTGAAATAAAAGGCTCTTCGCTGAATGACAGTTATAGCCAGAAAGATAAGTCTCTCTGCGTAATAATTGTCGAGGCAAGAAAGAGAGGAGTCTTTGTGGAATGATTGTTGGTGCCAGTAGAATAGAACTTACAGTGTAATGATTATCGAGGCCAGAAAGGTAGGAGTCTGTGTAATGATTGTTGGTGTCTGCAGAATAGAACTTACAGTGTAATGATTATCGAGGCCGGAAAGGTAGGACTCTTTGCGGAATGATTGTTGGTGCCAGTAGAATAGAAACCACTGTGAAATGATTGCTGAAGCTAGAAAAATAAAGTTATCTGATTGTTGGGACCAGAAATGACTGCTAAGAACAGAAAGTTTCAGCACTCTTCGTAATAACTGTTGAGATCAGAAATGTAAGGCCCTTGTTGGAATGACTGTCGAAGACAAAATGTTATAGCACTCAGTGGAATGATTGTTGCGACCAGATGATTATTATAGCACTCAGTGGAATAATCGGGGTGGGGGGCAGAATGTTATCT